TATAATTATCATCAAATGCTATCCAAGTCCCTCGTTTCCGCGTGCATAACTCTGACTGCGTTCATAATTTGCGGCAGCGGGCACCAGCGTGTATCAGCGCCCAATAGTGTTCCGAGCGTCCGGCAGCGTCAGTGACTGACAATTATAGACATCCATCTAGCGTCCGCCAGCGTCCAGTAGCGTCTCTCAGCAATTGCCAACGTGTACCAGCGTTCACCAGCGTCTGAGAGTGGAGAGCATGGGCACGGGTACGGGGCGATGGGGGGCACGGGTGGCAGACAGCTGGTGCAGAGAATGGCGTGATAAGAGGGGCCAGCTGTCTGCTACCCCCTATCACACCATACTCTGTACTCCTGGACGCTAGTGGACAGTGGTAGACGTTTAGTTTATGGTTTCCCGACTGGGGGGGGGGGGGAGCGCGGCCTTTTTTAAGGTTCTCTTTCACAACGTCTGCGACTTTTGTGCACTATGTAATTTCGCACATGCACAGCAATTGAAAAGGGCTATGCAGCATTACCCCGCAGCAAAGGGAACAATGCAAACTATTTTGCGGAAACTCTTGGATTTTTTGGATCTTTTGAGTTTTTTTTTGCAACAAAAATCTTTGACGCCTCTTTTACGTGTTTCACATACAAAATATTGATAGTTAAAAAGCAACATTAGTAGTTAACATGAACTTGTAAGTACGTGAGTGACTGAATAATACATCTCAAACAGATTCCTGCGTACTGATCTTCCAAATCCTAAACAAACATTTGGTTGCATGGACAGGAGTTACGCTTTTCACAACCTCCGCGCAGAAGCGTAATGCTCACAGTGGGTCCGATCAATGATAAGCAGATCATGCCTCAACTCTGGTCACGGGGAAAGAGCAAATACTGGACGTTGTGACGACGTTTATAGTCTCGCGAAAAATTATGCTTGAGAGAAGTTATTCTCGTTTGAAGCATGAAACCCGCTCGCGATTCATCACCAACGCGACCGTAACACATCCGAAAGATTCCACGAAAGGGGAAGACTCAGATTGCGAGTACATACAAAGCGCAAGCGACGGAGACATTGCCCCAACATGTCGCCTTCCGTCTATCGAGCCCCAAACCTTGAAAACCTATCATCTCCAAAAAAGGCCTCCCGATTTTAACGCTCTCTGCAGATAGGCTCCACCACTGATTTGCCATGGAGTCGTATCGCTATCGCAAGCGTCTGCAAGCGTTACTTATCTAATTCCTCCTGTCAGAACAAGCAGTTTGAGCCGAGAGAGGGGGGAAGGTCGTACTGACGCCGCCTCACACAAAACGATGCTGCATCCTGTGTGCAAAATATCTGTATTCTGAAAATGAGAACCTAAGCTTTTTGCTCTTTCGCGCAAGAGTCTTTTAGAAGAGTGTGTTAGTGTGTTGGCGTGCGTGTGTTGGTGTGTGGGCAGGGTACAGCATGGGGATGTGCGAAATGGCGGTGTGAGTACGACCCCCCCCCCTCGAAGAGGGTCCAGATACGACCCCCCCCCCTCCTGCTCTAACTGACAACCAGATGCATGTTCACCACTTCACAAATTTCTTCCTGAAATGAAATCGGAATTTCAAAAGCCGGTTTCT